TTTTGTCACTTTGACAACTGGTCCGACCCCACCATCTGTCTCATTAGTGAAGAATCTCCAAAGGGAGTGATAATCCTCTTATTAATTGATCTGTCACAGTTCTATTAGTCCATTCTCACAATAACCAATCATTTCCCAAATTTTGACTCAATAATGGCCATTAAAGTGATCTAGTCCAGGCCCATAACTGCCCCAATCATCATAAAACTGTAAACTATTTGGTCAGATAACTTCTTAATTTATATTGTTTTTAATAACTTTACAAACAAGTTATTTATTTCTATTGTTCTTTATAATTAGTACTAAAACTGCATTATGTTAAGTAATTATTTGTTTCCCGCTCTAAATTGTATAATTTCATTCTTGATGCTTGAACCATTACTTCATTCTTATAAAATAGGAATGCTATACCATGGCTCGATTTATGTAACAAAAATTCAGCGATTCAAGGCCATGCTACTGGGACATGTTGGTGTGACTGTAGAGGTCATAGTCATAATTTCTGTGACTAATATGTGACATGAATTAATTAAAGACAATTTAAATTTGGATGTGACTGTTAAGGTGACAGGTCATTTAGGATCTGCCTTTAAGATTATATATGTATTGCAGACTGCTTCAGGACACGGCTGAAGGTCAGATTCCTCAGCTACTTTGGTCATCTGAGATGTGATGGAAAGTCATACTCTTAGGTCATTTAGGATAGAACTAAAAGTCATGTTCCTGGATCATTAAAGGGTGACTGAAAGTCATATTCCTGGGTCTAACAGGATGGAACTAAAAGTCATGTTCCCTGATCATTAAAGGGTGACTGAAAGTCATATTCCTGGGTCTAACAGGATGGAACTAAAAGTCATGTTCCTGGATCATTAAAGGGTGACTGAAAGTCATATTCCTGGGTCTAACAGGATGGAACTAAAAGTCATGTTCCTGGATCATTAAAGGGTGACTGAAAATCATAATCCTGGGTCTAACAGGATGTGAGAAGTCTTATTCCTGGAACATCTAAAGGTGACTTAAGGTCACATTCCAGGGTCATTTAGGATCTAATATAAGATTAAAATCTTGGACCATTTACGGGTTACTGAAGGTCATATTCCTGGGCCATTTAGGATCTAATAAAAGGTTAAATTCCTCGGTCATTTAATATGTGACTGAAAGTCATATTCCTGTATAAGTGTCATTAACGACATAAGTCATATTCCAAGGTCATTTAGGATAAAGTTCCTGGACCATCTGTGTGTTAGTAAATGTGTGAAGATAACATACCTTTGTTATACTACAGATCTGTTTTGGTATGTGGTAAAGTATTCATTCATTCTGTGCTAATCGAGGTTTTCGTTAGTATCATGGCTATCAACACAGGAGGAAATATGTGGTTTTTTATCCAATCGAAATAGAATGACATATATGAACATGTAGTAAGGTGTATGCTAATTGAATCCACCTCACTGAAAAGTGATACAAAATGGTAGGTTAGAGAACAGGTTTTATGTGTTACTATGTATTAACTGGTGTGTTGGTATCAGTCTTATAAACTAGGGGGGATGATAATATTCATCACATTCAGCATGCAGTGTAAAAACCGTGGATCAGATCTGTAGGATAAACCAACCTTATCACTCAAAATGAATTTATTATCAGAAGTAGGCGAGGTATTGCTGCCAATTAGAGGTTATGAAACACCAAAGGTGCATCACACATCTGAAGATTTACAAGAAATAAAAACCAGGTGATGTGTTTCAGTAGATCTCACCAATGTAACAGTCTTGTGTAGAATTAGATTTGTCTGAGTACTCCATAGAACAGCATAAATAAACTGTCTTTGTGCTTTGAAGGCGTTAAGATGTATTAAATCGGTTTTTGAAATCCTTTTATTCTAGAAGTGATGATGGGCATTGTGGTGCCGTGTAGACAGAAATGTGCTAAGTGTCGCAGACTGATAACCCATCGTCGCCTCTCCGACAATATACGCTCAAACATCAGTCAATTCTCTGTGGTGAGAATTGAATTTAACTAATTAATATAATGTGTACAGCTTTGCATTAACGGCTTTTGTTTTAATTATGGGAGCGAGACTGCAGGCGGCAGACGATCTCAGAGGAAAAATGTGTTTTAAGAATTCACATGAATGTGGATTTCATTTATTTATCAGCTCTTAGAAGGTTCTATAAACATGCATTATTTCATAACATCTTGGCACTTTACCTCTTAAAAATTATGACTAATGTAATATTTAACTTTCAAAAGACATTTTGCGTAAATATTATTTTTGTTTGTTTTATTAAAACAAGTTCTGATGATAAATCATTCATAGAAAACCTGTTTAATTGTTTTTCCTCTAACCAAGATTACACCATGAAGTATTTCTACAAATTTGATGAAAGATTTTGTTTTTTATGAATAATATTTATCATATAAATGTGGCAATAAGCACATGCCTTGTAATAAGTCCAGCCCATTACTCTGAATCAGTTAAAATTGTTTGTCCCCTGGGCTTATTGTAGAATCAGTATGCCACCATGTACCATGGAAAAGTGTCTAAGAGCAGTAACAGTGACAGTGTATACCTCTACCAGAGATAAGATTGTAATGCTTGGTTTTAAAACCATTTGTCAATTAAATGTAAATTCTTCAAATACACTTCCTTTACTATCTTTTAAATGAAATATAAATGGATGTTCAGAACTTTCTGTAAATGTTTTGTATCCATAACGAGTTTAGCTATGAAATTTTTGTATTTTTAAGAACTTAAAATGCCCTTTTTTGAAAATAGAGAAAATATTGAGAGTTTTTGTTTGTCATGTTTTGAACTTTTAAACTCGGTGCTCTGATACCAGGAGTGATTGATGTAAGTAGGAAGGTAGGGTGAAGGTGATTTCATTGGGTTTCAATTTCATCAAGTTCAAGGTCAATAATTTGTTATTTTTAGTCTGCTCCACAACAAACAAATGACAGTAAAAAATTAATAAATTATATTGTAATAAACATCAGGTTTAAATTAACCTAGCATATCATTAGCCAATTACAAAAGATCATTTTTAGTTCTGAAAGTTTTGATATATATCCTACTTCTGGACTGAAAATTTTGTTTAAATCTAATTTCAATTTTAATTAAATCTAAGAGGAATCCACTGGTTTATTGTGACAGAGAACTATACCAAATACACATGTATAAACATTTGTCACAGTTTTAGTAAGCAAATGGAGAGTATCTAGATTAGAACAGAAATCCACTCCCACCAAGAATTAAACTGACAAAAGATAGACACAAAAAGGCCCAACATGCCTTAACTGACCAGAATGCTGACCCCTTGCTGGGACCTTAATGCTCAGTTCTTGTTCACCTGTGGAGTGTTGACCCTGCTATTCAGTTAACTGGACAATATACTGCTAACTCTCCTTAGTGATATCACATGGGGTGGAAAGATTGCTGCTTTTAGTTTGGAAGCCCTTTTGTCCACTAGTATAAAAATAGGAAGGTAACATGATAGTGTTTACTAGCAACCAGACCACAGACTCACCAAGTGCACACAAATTTGGGAAGTTCAGATTATAACAGTAGGAGATCAGGGATAATTGTGCCATATCCAGCTGTCTCTGATCCTTGAAAATATTTTTTGTTATCGTCATGAGAGACAGCGACACACAAATCAGATTGGAATAAAAATGTTTTGCTAATTGACATGTATTGATGAGGTTTTAGGTGGTAGTGATTGATATTGTAATGAGATTTGTCTGATAATCAGGGTACAATCACACTTGGAAATATTAAAAAAAATGAAGATAGTTTTTAATTGACAGCAGAAGGAAAACAGTTTTTTTCAACTTATTAGCAGCAGTTTTTCTCAATGATTCAATTTTGAGACAGATGCCCCCTTGTATGTGACAGATAAAGTCAGAGCAGATTTGCTTTCAACTTCAAAACTGCCTTTACAAATCATTCTTCTAGATTTTGATAGGATAAATGGATGAGGAAAATATGTTTACTAGAATCTATGTTTTTCATTATTATTAAAGAACAGCTTAAAGAGAACTAAAGTGATGTATTAGATATTGTTAGATAGACATATAAAAGAATACATTTCTATAGATGTAAAAAATAAAAATAATACATTGTAATATTACTATCATTACAGACTTATGGCCCATCAACACATAAAAGGTCATTAGGGCCATCAACTGGTAAAACACACAGCGATCCAAAAAGGAAATAACACCAAACAAACTTAAAGTTAAAAGACAAAAGCTAAAAATCTTAAATGGTTATATTATCACAAAATATTAAAATGGTAAATCTGCGATATAGACCACTATCTTCACCTAGAATGTTATAAATCTCAACAGTTTCAAAGATACAGGACATGAGGAAGCACACCAGGTTATTTTGATCAATATATTGACATTATTTTAGACAACAGGATATTGCCTACTCATTAGAGTATTATTTACACTGTGTACTGAGTTTTAATGTTTGGTAGGAGTACTTGTTTGATGTAAATTATCAATACCACAGGTGTTTGTGTCAGTAATACATTGTTAATACTACAGGATAGGTGTTTGTGTTAGTAATACATTGTCACTACCATGACATGTCTGGGTGGAATTGATCAGATGTGTAATACATTGTCAATACTGTATGTATAATACACTCTCAATACTTTTCAAGGTTGAAACCTAGCTGATTTTACTACTCTGCAGTGTTTGGGTTGAAACCTTGTTGATTTTACTACTCTGCAGTGTTTGGGTTGAAACTTTGCTGTTTTCACTACTCTGCAGTGTTTGGGTTGAAACTTTGCTGTTTTTACTACTCTGCAGTGTTTGGGTTGAAACTTTGCTGTTTTTAGTACTCTGCAGTGTTTGGGTTGAAACTTTGTTGTTTTTACTACTCAGCAGTGTTTGGGTTTAAGTGTTGCTGTTGTCACTACTTCGTAGTGTTTGGGTTGAGTGAGCTAGTGTGTAAACAGTTACACGTGGATATAATTATAATGTGTACCTACCTCTGATAGAGAACCAAGGATCACTTCAGTGTTTGACTTCTATCATCTCTAAATACTACAACATCCACTTTGTACTTAGCACTGTAAGAACTGACTCCCATAGGATCTGGTCCTGTACATGATCCTTTATAGCAGGAAAACAACACAATGTAGACTTATGATAGTCTTCGTACCAAACTGTCTATATTAGAACATAAGCCTTGTAATTGGTATATTTCTAGGGACCTCAGTTCCTTTATCCAAAATCACAGTTAGTCCTATGGGATTTGGTGCACGTGTAAGGCTAATGTATATATAGTATGGCTGGAAATCTCAGTAGAACAATAACAGTCTCCATTAGTGTCAATCTCACTGAGTACCACTGGTACACCTCAATCCCTGAAGTAGGTGAACTTTCAGGTCCTTTATCCAAGGGGAATGTATTCCCAAGGGAGAATATAGTCCTGGAAACTGACTATTTACACTGTTGACTTGGGTATAGGGCCCCAGTCTGATGTATAGCTGTGTGGTAGTAGTCAACACTGTATGTAGGTTATCAGTGTTGGAGTGGACACCAATCTCACAGTCCAATAGGCGTTACAGTTAGCACTTCTGGTGTGAGTTTGAAGGGCCCCACAAAAGGCTGCAGTAGGGTCTAGTTACATATAGGTTCATGCTGGGGCCCTCTGGGGATGGTGGTAGGGAGGGGGTGTTTTAAATCGGTCAGTCAGCCTGGGGTGGAAATAACACCTTTAGAAGTGATGTAGTGGAAATGGGTAGACAAGGTGTTTGAGTGGGGTGAGAGAGGCTATTTGTTTCAGTGGTGAAGGGAGAAACAAGTGTTCAAGTAGGAAGGAGGACAGCAGGAGACAAGCTTTAGTGAGAAGGGTCAAGATAGCTTACAATTCAGTATGAGGGGCTTGAGAAGGGAGGAGAAACAAGAGGTTTAAAATGGAGGGTGTGTCTGTGTTTTGGGAGAATATGTGGGAACTAGACAAAACCAGAGATCACAGAGGCTATTAGAATAGAAGTGAAATTAAATGGAAATCATGTTGTTGAAACTGGTGAAAGTTATGAAAATGAAAGTAAATGAAAAATATGTATGTTTCGTAAGTTGTAAAAATGATAAACTCCACTCTAATTTGGCAATTAAAGTTGAAAGGCACTTGAAATGTCTTAAATCACAAAATGTTGAAGTTCTCAATTTAGCCAGAACTAACAGGATTTGTTCTGTACAAGCAATTTTTGTTGTTGTCGAGGAACAAATGAGAGGAACAAATGACTGCTGGTGGTGATTAACCAATGCATTGAGAGAGGTTATTTATCATATTTTCCAGGCTATAAACCTCACCCAAGTATAAGCCACAGGACTGATTTTCAACAATTATTCTGATTTGATCCTCATATAAGATGCCCTGGAATATAAGCCGCACTCTTTCCTATGATCTGGTTACCATTATGTTAACCAAAGTTTGTTGATACAACAGAAAATGGAAGGCAATTCATCAAGACCGTCTGTGAAACATTAAATATAAGTTTGCAAATGAATTATACACAGATATCTATATAGTCTTTTATTTCAGTGATGTGTTTGAAAAGGTAAAAAAGCAATTATTCAGCTCGTTTGGCTTGGAAGCCATCAAAAATTGTCTTCACACAGAAATTGGGCCTGACGCTATTTACGGTTTACTTAACGATATCTCCTTTGGTGTCTGTACTGTTAGATATTAGAGAATATCCTCGCATGCTGTCAAAATTTTTATCATCCCATATTATTTCTTGTAAGTTACACAAAGGCATTCTTACCATAAACAAGCACGGAGGTCGTTCTAGAATTTGACCCGATGACCTACCAATCCCAGGATGCAACAGGTGATTGAAAACTTCCTCTACGGATTCCGATTGATTAATTAAATCCACAAGAATATTTTTTCATTTCAGTCTTAAAACCATCCTGTATACAGATGCACATGACGGTTCTAGATGATCTGTTTTAGTCACAAACACATGATGGACAGGTACTTGTAAAAAACTTGGTACTGATGTCTCGTACTGGTGTACTGGTACGCTTGGTTTAAATCACTATTTCTTATTCTTTCTGGAAAAGTGACATGTTTTTATAGCAACTGAAATTATCAGGGTGCGAGGTCATCAGGTCAACAGCGATGTGATGTGTCTCAACAAAATGTCCGGTTTGAAATACATAACGGTCTGGAACCAATGTTTTTATTTTGTTGTTTTTTTTCGTCCAAGTATAAGCCACACACCCGGCCGCTGAGGAAAACAGCTGCAGCTTATAATCTGGAAAATACAGTACTTATAATATCACTATAATTTGAGCTAAGAAATAAAGGACAAAATGTACAGGCTAGTAAGTAGAGGGAAAAATCAACATTAGCTAAGCAGCTAGGCAGTTAATAGTTTCCCTCACTACAATTCAGAATGGAAGTCCGAAATTTAATCTTATGACCATATTAGGTAAAGGTATCTTTGCAATCGATGAAACTTAATTTTTGATAATATTTTACCTTTTGTCTCCATGATACAAATGTCTTGTAAGGAGGAGGATTCCCATATTGTGTCATGAAATGTTTAAATGTAGTCAAAGAAACAGTGTCAAAATATCTTAAGTGCTGTCACATTAAGACAAAGTTTATATGTGATACCTGTATTTTCTGTTAAATGCTACGCTTATTTCATCACCATCAGTTACATGTGTTATATATGATACCTGTATTTTCTGTTAAATTCTACACTTATTTCATCACCATCAGTTACATGTGTTATATAAGATACCTGTATTTTCTGTTAAATTCTACACTTATTTCATCACCATCAGTTACATGTGTTATATAAGATACCTGTATTTTGTTATATATGATTAAATTCTACACTTATTTCATCACCATCAGTTAATGTGTTATATATGATACCTGTATTTTCTGTTAAATTCTAAGCTTATTTCATCACCATCAGTTACATGTGTTATATATGATACCTGTATTTTCTGTCAAATTCTACGCTTATTTCATCACCATCAGTTACATGTGTTATATATGATACCTGTATTTTCTGTTAAATTCTACACTTATTTCATCACCATCAGTTACATGTGTTACATGTGTTAGTTTGATTCTCTTTTAGGTGTAAGGATGAAAAATGATTGCATAACATTTCTGTCATTCAGCAAAGGAATGGCCTTTCAAAGAAGTTTAACTAAGGTCTCTGATATGTAACGATATGGAAAAGGAAGGAAGGAAGGAGGTATTTCGAGGGGATCAGGTGACCATCAAGGAAAATGTCCTGTAATGATTAATGGACATCTAAAGATTTTAGGGTGGAGTGACGACAGATGAGAGTCATTGTAATTCTCCCACCATTGGTGGTTTTTATCAGTATAGATGAAAATAAATTTCAAATTCAACTGATTTCTAGACCTTTTAATTTTCATATCACTAATTATACCTAGCATCAGCAAGGAGTCATGTAAACACACTGATCGTCCGAGCACAACATATATAATATAGCAGACAGCACAGGTATTTCCCAGAAAACCATCAAAGGGATGTCGACTGAAAGAACAGATATAAAAAAATGTTAGATATTAAAAACATCTTAATGTTGCAAAACTCATCATCAAAATATTATGATTTTCAAAATACAAGAATGACTTTTCCTGAGAATATTTTTGTATAATGTGTTGAAGGCTGGGTTATCAGAAACAGATCATAGGAGATGTTGTATAAATCTGGTTGTCATATGTGACATGATGATCTGGTATCATTCTATATAATGGGACAGCTTTTATAATGGATGTTCCCTGTAAATCCTGCCCACGAGAAACTAAGGATAATGTATGAATATTAACTGTCATTGTATATATCTTTGTCATCAACAATAATCCCTTATTATCACAATGGAGGATGCTCAGTATTTAATTTCTAGTTACAAAAAAAATCGTTATTTTCATCAACACTGACACAAATAAGAACATACAGAACGTATGTAATTGTGTTATTGATAGCAGAAACATCTAGGTGATTATTTTGGATTGACGTTATATTGTTGGGAAAACCTGTTTTTAAATGCAGAATGAAGATGATGATTGATGTGCCATTATTTGCCCCTCCCTTCCTACGGAACAGGGAGGAAAGGAGTGACATTTGATTCTACAGAAATCAGAAACATACCAGCTGAAATTAAGAATGGTTTTATCAGCTCACCTGACCTTAAGACTTTGGTGCACAATCCCATGTCTGTCTGTCTGTCTTGTCTGTCTCGTCAATCTGGCATTGTTACTTTCCTATAGATGACTTTTCCTCAAAAACCATAAACCAAATGTCACCATTTTTGTTCAGTAGCTCCTTGGGATGTAGCCCCAAAATGTTGTGAAAAGAAATGACCATGACTCATAATCAAGGTTAAAGGGGTAAGATTTTTAAAAATGATTAAACATTTTCTTTTTATTAACAGAAAGGCCTAGAATCAGAATATTTCGTTGGTGAGGTATCTTAAATGATATATGACTAAATTTGCAAAAAGAAATCTCCTTGATTAATATTCATAATTAAAGGAGTCCAATGTTTTTAACATAATCTGGTAAATCAGAAGGTGAGATTGCTTGAGGGGTCTATACAGTGGACGGAAACTAGAATACTGGAGGTAAAATTCACAAGGGCAAGTGACCAGATACCTTTTCTTGTCAACTCCAGGAATGGAACCCAATATGCTTTGGTGAAGGAAAGTGTGCCATAGCACCTTGGATAAATCGCCAGTGTGATCCTTACTAAACCTCAATGCAAACACCATTTTAGATACTAGATGTACCAGATTTGATGAAATTATTGTAAATTATCAATGTACTACTTGATACAGTGGTGTATGAATAGTGTGTGACCATTTCCCTGAATGGGCCTCATTGGTGATAGATGCTTCATCTCACAAATAGCTCTGGCCAAATGTGTTAATTTATTTATCCCAAAGCGGTCAGGCATGATGATTTATATGCTTGATTTATGGTTAGAATGACCAGGAGAGATGATGAGTAACTAGGGGCCTAGAGGTCAAGCTTCTAGAAGTGGTCAGTCTGTGGTCACTTGTACATGACCGCTGGTTCTGATAACTAATGCATACAGATAAAACTTCACTGTATATACAAAATCTGGTACTGAAGCTGTGCAGTGTAAACAAATAAAAATATAATCTCTTTGAAATCTTTTTGTATCAAGCATTGTTATCTTAATGCTACATATGATTGTTTCAAAACTGAACTTTTCAAACGTTATTATAAAGATAGATAAAATTTATGTCTTCAGGTGAAATTTTAGAAAACAAATCACAAAACTATTTAATTTTCAATTAATTTACAGCAAAAGGAATGAAGAAGTAGGAGAAATAAAGGATTTCCTGCTGCATATCTAAGGTGAAGATGATTGAAACATCACTGAAAAGGGAATGATACATGTACAATATGTTTATGAGACAGTATCACATCATCAGCAATATTTATCCATCTAGATCTCTCTGACTTATGGGGAACATCTCCACAGTCAAACACCCCAGTT